ACACCCCCTACTCACCTCCCCCCCCCCCCATACATGCACACTCCATACGAAGTCACTTAAGTGCTGACACTGTGAGAGAGAGAGATCTAAGTCTTCAGTAAAAGCCATCTTGCTGCCCCATTGATTCTCGTGTGGGAGGCAACTTTCTGTCCCAAGCCCACCTAGTGCCTGAGTTGCCAGAACTTGGTTCTGCACCTTGAGCTTCCAGCCTCTTCTGAGCTACAAAGCCTAGCAGACTCAGCTTAACTCACCGCCACGCAGCTGCTTGGCAAACGCTAACTGTCTTTTTGTCCTCATTTCTGTTTTCCCCACCTGAAGCCACCTGGTGCCACCATTCCAGTTCCAGGGATGGTTGTATTCTTAAAGACATGTCTAAAGCAGCAGCTAAAAGAGTTCGGGGAGAGAGTTTTTAAAGCCAAGTAGGTGATCTAGAAAGGATCTCCCTCCTCCAGCGGGGTTCTGGCCTCACCACAGCATTGCCACATCCTGTTTATTTTGTCCACCGCTGTTCCACGTTCTGCCTGTACTTCCTGGCGTTGTAGATCTCCAAATGGATGTATGTGAGAAGATTCATGAAGTGATGGGTATAATCCTGTAGCATCTATAGCAGCGATAGGGTCAAGTGCTCACTGTGAGTAGTTACTTCGGTTATAGTTTTCCAAAAGCATTCACATTTAGGCCAGACTAACAAGAGCCTTCCAGCACTCAGTGACTGATAAGGGCAACCAGTGGGATTCCCAAAAAGTTTTCAAGAAGGTTCAGAGTTAGGCACCTGTTACTTGCAGGAGGATCTCCTAGGTCTTTGTTTCCAAAAGAGGCCAAGGTGCCAAATTCAAGTTCAGCATTAACTGAAAATGGGTTTGGGATGCTTTTGAACATGTTACCCATTAACAGTAAATTTTGGTTTCCATTATCAAACATACGCACGGTCCAACTCACAACTAGGCACCCTCTGCTTACATAGCCCCTTTCCTTGCGTGATCTCAAAGCTTCCCTCCCCCACCCCCAAAACAATTTCTCCTAGAGGAGAAATAGTTTCTTGCACCCATTGTTCAGACTGCCAGAATGTCATGGCCACACACTGAACAAAGCCTAGGATACAGACTCCCGTTCCCTTTCTAAACACTAGCAATATTCCTCCATTTTATAAAGAGACAATAATAATCAAATAAGACAACAAAAAAGGGTAGAAAGCTAAAGTGCTAAAATCAAAACACACACTGACGGCCGATCTCATGTGTTCAGCAGGCCACTGGGTCGTTCAGAGTTTTGACAGCAGCACAGCTCCACACCTACTTCTCAAGGGAGACAAGGAAGGGAAGGCAGGAAGGTCCAAGCTGTAAAGTTCTTGTGACATGATTCAGAAGGAGGACATTACATTGAGTCATCAATTTAACCTGTCACCTGAAACCAAGCTGTTGGGAAGCTTGCACTGGGAACAGACACACACATTGTTCTGCTTTTGTGTTGAACCTGGATTTAATAAAGCCAGTTGGGCAGCAGACACAAGAGCTTATTGGAGGCTACCTCTCTCTACTCCTTAGGGAGACTGGATAGTATCTGCCTTGACTCTCACTAAAGTCTCCAGACATCTGTTTTGCCACAACTCTACTTGGGCTACATTTATGGAACCAGTTGAAAAGCATGCAGTTCATTTAGATATCTGCACTTTCATGTTGCCAGGCAGCTAATTTCTGAGTGATCCTAAAGCAGTTATCCAGAAAGAAAAAATAAACAGGATATACACTAGATCATCAATGGATCTAGGTATTAATGAACCAAATTACAAGACCCTTCAGGAACTTGGCCAGGTCTTTGCAGTGGTGCCAGAGTGGGTGGGGAAAGTAACAGTGTTTGGGACATTGTAACTAGCATCATTCCATAACACTGGGTGAATAGCAGTGTCTCCTTTGCTAGCACTTTTGCACGTTTAGCAAGTCAAATGTATTTTGAGCGCCTGATGACTGCTGAATATAGGGGTGATAGCAAGTCTCTTCGCTGGTTTTCCATAGAGTCACCAATGCTTGGTCTTCAGAGCTGGGGTATCTTAATGGACAGAGATACAAAGCAAAACTTCTTGCTAGAGGAAGTTAATAGGTGGCACTAATTACCTCTAATTCACAGCCAAATTGTCCCACAGATAAGCCAGAGAACAAGCCTTTAGGCATAAAAAAAAGAAAAAAACATTGCAAACACCCTTTTTCACCTTATCTAAAGTGCTGGGAAGGATCAGCTAGAATTAAAGACGAATGCATTGACATAAACCCAGCTGCTTGCTAGAAACAGAATCTACCTCATCATCAACTTTCTTTTTGTACTCCATTGCAAAGAGGAAGGTACCCCACAAATTATATCAGCTTTAAACTTCTTTCCACCACCATGCCTTCTCCTCAGAAGAATGTTCTCTAGCAGGAGTGAGGAGACCATGCCACCACCAGCTGGAGGTGCTGAGATGTTGCATCCATCTGTGAAGTCCATCAAAACAAACAGCATCCAAATTGAAGCACCTAGATACCCAGGGCTTTCAGCACCTCTGCAATAAACCACAAACATACAGCAACAAAATAACCTAATCACTCTAAAGAGAGCAGTACCTATTTTGCTAGCATTAAATTCCAGAAATTTACACTTTAAAAACCAACAATGGTCATATAAAAAACATGACTAGAGAAGCAAAGTCAGCCTTTCAGTCATATCTGGCACCAGGAAGAGGAAGCCTTGATAACAGTTTGTTCAGGCAGAGGTGGTGACTGAAGGTCAAGACTCTGGGCTCTTTTCAAGCCCAGTCACTTCCATGCCATGCTACAAGCTCCTTAACAGTACGGAAGTGTTACTTACACCTCATCGATTCCCAGGGCAACTGCTGTTCCTAAGGAACTGAGATCCTTAGATGAAAGAAACTGGGAGAAGGACAATGGGTTATTATTAGAAATTAGTATGGACATAAGCTGGAAACAGCATCCAAAACCAAAACTAACTATTCTACCTATTTAGGGCTGATGCTTTAGCCCCAGTTATTGAGATGCAAATGTAGCATCAGCTGAAGTGGGCGCCTTTCCTTGCCACAGACCCAGCAGCATTAATCAGCATTGCCATTTATTTCTCTGACCTCTCCAAGTCTTTAAGATACACCACCACCTACAGCTGCAGCTGTAGGCACTTCCAAAATACATAATTAAAAAAAGATTCAGACCAAGGTAAAAGTTAAATTCACTTGGCCCACAGGGCTTATTTCCTCCCAACATTACACTTCCCTGCCAGGGCTATGTCAACAAGCAGAGACACAAATGTCTTCTGCATTTTATTTGCTTTAGGGGCTGAAGAACAAGTTATAAGTTTTCTGACCCTGCAGTCATGGCGAGTGGTTCATCGTAATTTCAAGAGGCATCAAGTCATTTTGATGTAGGTTTCAATCTCTGCTGGGGCCTTTGGATCAGGCCACAAAAGTATGTTTGTGAAGAATTTAAGGCAAGAAACGCAACTTGGCACAGGCACGCAGAGGAAGTACCAGAGGTACAGAATATTGGCAAGATCATTTTATTAAGAGTTTATCTTTAGCCAAATAATAGCCCTTTCAAAAGTCTTCAGCACTCAGGTGCCAAGCTGCATTTCCTGCCTCTCACTGCACCATTACACTGGACTTCCTACTCCGAATTACTCAGAAAATAGCAGCTTGCTGAGCGACACCAAAACCTGCTGTACTTGAGGAGTGATTGAGGAGCGGGGAAAGGCAGCTCCAAAACCTGTTCTGAAAGTTTTGAAATGTATCCTGCTGTATAGCCTCTTTGGCAGCCACCTCCTCCTTAAAAAAAAAATTTAAAAAATACTCAAGTTCTTAAAATGAGTACTGATCTAGTTGAAGTTTACTATTAAACAATATAATGAGATGAAGTACACTGCCTATGTGCATATATACACTCGCAAACATCAGTGCTGGGACTACCCACATGCATGCTTCACACTTATCACACAACTCTGCCCATTTTGGCATGAAAGCACTCTCTGTTCCTCCACCTGATTCTAGGTAGGAATTATGCAATGACAAGATTACTTATAGTTAATATTTCTCCAATACACTAATTCTTTTCTTTATCTGTCAGCATCTACCAATCGGAACTCTAGAAGAAGGGGGGAAATCCAGATTCCACTGTAATCAGAGAAAGCTTTGGTTAACACATCACATTTACAAATAATTGGAGGGTAGAGTGGTGGAGGTGAAGACAACACCTGAAGAAAGGGCGAGAGAGTTGGGGTTGTTCAGCTTGGAGAAGAGAAGGCTCCGGGAAGACCTTATTGTGTCCTTTCAATAGTTAAAGGGGGCTTATAAGAAAGATGGAGAAAGACTTTTTACCATGGCCTGTAGTGACAGGACAAGGGTTTTAAACTGAGAGAGCAGATTTAGATTGGATATGAGAAATTTTTTTTATGATGAGGGTGGTGAGACACTGGAACAGGTTGCCCAGAGAAGCTGTGGATGCCCCATCCCTGGAAGCATTCAAAGTCAGGCTGGACGGGGCTTTGAGCAACCTGATCTAGTGAAAGATGTCCTTGCCCATGGCAGGGGGTAGACGAGATGATCTTTAAAAAGGCCCCTTCCAGCCCAAACCATTCTGTGATTCTACAAGAATTTAAGCACTGAACTGAAGCTAAGCCTGGGACCAGTCCTACAGACAGATTTTTTTTTTTTAATTATTATTATTTTCTTAAATGGATGATTTATACACCTTCCCCCTGAAAATGGGGTTTTAGAATAGCAGCACTGACACAATCTTAAATTTAGCAACACAAATGGCATCACTACTATAAGGGGAACTTGATGCATTTGCACTCTGATGAGAGGATAGGATATCACAGGCAGAACAAGAGGTACTGCAGAACAGCTGGAAGAAGGGATTTGACATGAACATTCTCCACTGCTCTGATCCGCAGGCCAGCACTGAACAAGAGGGTGTGCTTCTCCGACAGCTAATTCATTGCCATCAGTATAGCAGCTTCCTTCCCCTTTAATTCAGTTGACTGGGCCCCTCTATTCCCTCCAAACCCTTTTAAAGCCTGCTACAGACAACCTGTGACAACTACAACAGGGACAGGCAAGAACAAGAAACATTTCTTCAATTTCTGTGAAACTGAGCAATGCTGCCACCCCTTCTCCCAACACTAACTACTCCAGGCAATAGCAGAATCCCAGTCTTTATGCAACAGTTTCCCAGCCACAGGGAGAGTGGCTGCATGTAGTTTGGTAAGTTCTCTGGGACTTGCTTCCTTATACATCCATCTTACTTGAGAAAGTGCTAGCTTACTCCCAGGCCTTAGCTTTTACTTAACTAGAACAAGACATGCAAAGTTGCAACGGTTTAACTCAAGGGATAACATAACACCTGATATTAGTCAAGTCAGTGCAGCTTTGGACATATATAGTACACCACACTAAACCTTGTTTGCTGGTTTTAGCTCATACTTGTCACACAAGCCAAAAAAACCATATGCAGCACCATGCTGTTTAAACCAGCTACATCATGTCTCTAGTTAGATGTGATGCAGAGTAGTGCAGTCAAAGCACCCTCACGCTGCTCTCAGCGACAAGGAAAACTCAAAAGCTTAAGCCCAGCATAACCAGTTCTAAAATACTCACCTAACAGTGAGTCTGTAAGGAGCCTGGAGCAACTGTTTAGACAGAGAAAGAAATACTGTATTTGCCCCAATAAGGGATTAACTTCAACTGTCAGCGTAGCACATAGTTCTGCACACCACACAGCAGGCTGCTGAAAAAGGCCCTAGGTAATGCTGGAACCAGAAAAACAGCTAGTTTTATGCAAGTGCGGTGCCTGGGTAAATCAGATTGTGTCTGAGACCCCAAGAAGCACCACTGCATGAGTGGTACATGAACAGACCAGCTTCCTCCGGCATCTCAGCAAGAGACGATCCACAGGTATCTAAAAAATTCTAATGTTGCAACTCACAGGATGTAAGAGGCCACAGTCTGCTATAAGATGCATTATGTTCTGGCAAGCTGGACAACTAGATTTAGAAGCATCTGCTTCTTCCAGCCCAATGACTAGTACCCTGGGAGACTGCAGATCCTGTCCCAAAACAGCAACAAACAACGAAGATACCCGAGAAGAAATCTGAGAGAACTAACTAGTTCCTTCAATTCCACTCTGCTGAATGGACTACCACCCTAGAGACTTGACCCTCACAGGTCAGATGGCTGCAGCTCAAAGCAGCACTTGACTAACTAGCATTATGTATCTCTGAATGGAGAGAAATACAGCTACACCACAGAATCTAACTTCTCAGTTTTGATCCTAGGAAAGTCTAAGCAAACAAAGCTACTAAGACTCAGCCAAAGAGGAGGACAATGCTACGAACCATTGTTTGATACTGTTAAATCACTCCAGGTTTCATCTTGTTCATGCTATGCAGGTAGCTCAAACTGTCCCTTAGGAACCACTCAGCAAAAACTGCAATGCCTGGTAACTAAGGGGTCAATTGGCTCCATATCCTACTCACCTCTAGGGCACCAGTCCCCATTCAGTCCCCACTCATGAGCAGGGGGAGAGATAACAGAATGGACCATATCCAAGTGATATTTCTCCTTCACAACTGGCAGGAGTTGATTTGGGAGTCTTAATCCAGCTCCTCAAAAGCCAGGTGGCTGTCTCCAGCAAAGCATCATCATTGCAAGCAACCTGTTGAGATCCATCCTCATTTGTGCGATCCCTGGAGTCTGGAGTAATGGTTTACTATCCAGTGAAGCTGCCATCAAACATCACACTTTGCCATCTTGGTGGACAGAGAAGAAGAAAATCAGTCTAACGTCTTTCCTCATCATCTAGTTTGTTCCATTAAAAAAAAACACAACACATATTTGTAAATACACACACACTGGAATATGTTTCCAAAGTTTTCTATGCAGATACAATCTCTCCTTGCATTCCAAAGAAACAGGAAGGAACAGGGGGAAATCTTTACCAATATATGTTTAACAGCTCATTGAAAATACAAAGAGCTGTGGATGGAGAAGTGAGACCCTAAGAGAACATGTATTGAAAAAAAAAGGTTTCAGCAAATCACCTGTGAACTACTGAATTGCCATTTAATCAGGAAGGAAGATTACTGCAAGCATACCTGGTATGATTTAATCAAGAACTTCCAGCACAAATTCAAGGAGGACACAGAGGTTACATCAGTCAGCCTTAATAGGCTATAGGTAGCAAACAGGATAGAAATAAAAAAGAATGGAGCATAAGGAATTAGAACTATGTGAAGTAACCACGGGGAACCAGGTCCCAATTCTCAAAGGGAGATGAAGAACAGGTCAAGGCAAGAGACCAAACAAGATTCTCAACACGTACCAGTGACAGAAAACCAAACTGAGACCAGCCACGTGTGGAACTTCTCTCCATGCTGCCAGCAGGAAAAGGAGCACTGAGACAGAGATTTAGAATTAGCAAGGGCACTGTTTTGATTTGTGAACAGGCACGTGTTCATCTGCTTTCTGACAAGCAAACCAGGTCCCACAACATACTCCCACTGCTCCCCATGCAGGCGGAGGAAAACAACTCTTGTGCACACCAATGATTGGGATATCTGTGGCCTACAGCGCGCTCTCCTCTACAGCATCCATCCTTTTTAACACCAGTCAGCCTTCCTAGCACAGCTGGCAGGTAAGGATAGCTCTGCTGTTCCATGGGTCTTGAAGAAGCAGCCACAACACCATACCAAAGAGCTTCTCCCCCACCACCACCCTTCCCTATTGTTAGGGCGTAACTCTTCAGCCTATCCTTTGTTTGGTGATAAACAGGCACCAAAGCTTGGCAATATTTCCAACTCCCCAAGCAGGTTATCTCCCTTTATCGAGTCTTCTTTCCAGCACTTGTCTTCCCCAACCCTTTGGGTTCCTTACGCTTTTTAAGCTTTGACTTTGCTCCAAAAATGAAGACAGCCAGTAACCTGCACCTACTGAGCAACACATGCAGGATTAACAGCAGCTCTGCATTTCCAGCTCACGTTGCATCTGAATCCTCTTCAGCAGAGTGGTTCAGATTCTAATGGATCACTTTGCATGAACAGAGGCCGCAAAAGCAGCAGAAGCTATAATAAACTCAAGGTTTCTTTGTATTCACAATCACATTGGCATGCTTGAGCTCTAAGAAAAATAAAGCCTGTCCTGGAAAGTTGGAAGCTTGGCACTTCTGCCAGAAGCTTGCTTAGTGTTCCTTGCAGTGAAGCTCATTCCCTTACCACTCCCACTACTAAGGCACACCTAGCTGCATTATCAGCATACATGGCTACAAATACACCTTGTTTTTCCAGACATCTTTTGTCAACACTGAAGCATCACAAAAGTATACAAAGAACAGGCAGAGCTAAAGCAGTTGAGCTCAGCTTTAAGTGCTCAGGAAAAAAGCTAATGCATTGTTAAGATGACACCTACAAGCAACAGTTCATTCAGATTAGACAGATGCACTGAGCAGGGTGCTTGGTAGTATCTGCAAGCTGGTAAATCAGCTCCCAGGAATAGCAATCAATTCACCCCTCTGAAAAATATAACACCTGTTTTTGGGCACAATTACACTATGTGAAACCATCGCTGACAGATCTCAGACAAGAAATGTGAAAGAGGTGGGATGATCATCCATGTCACATTTTAGCTGAGACACAAAACTGGAAACCAATGTGGGGGAATTTTAAATTTCCCAAGAGGTCACAAGTCAAAGTGTTCAGGAATGAACAGCAAGGATTCTGGTGACACTCCTTCCCAAATTTTTTTTTTTTTTTATTTTTTTTTATTAGGATAAGGGAAGGTCACAAGTCAAAGTGTTCAGGAATGAACAGCAAGGATTCTGGTGACACTCCTTCCCAAATTTTTTTTTTTTTTTAATTTTTTTTATTAGGATCAGGGACTTGCCTTACAAGGAACACTTCACAGTGCAGGGGGCTACTGTGTGTAGCACTGCTGAAGGGCAGAAAAGAACAAGAATGTAAATCTTATGTCCAAATTAAAATTCAAGGCAACATCTAGAATGGGTCTGTACAGCCAGCCCTGATGTCCTGACCACTGCATCTTCGTTGCTTTTGATAGATAAGCTAACTGTAGTACAGGTCAGCCAGGCTCACCAACACGTAGGACACTCACACTACAATGAACAGTCAACTTGAGCCTGCGTGGGAAACAGGTGAAGACATGGCAGAAAAGGACATTTCCTGGGACAGAGTGGAATAAGAGGGATCTTACTTGTGCAGGACAAGTAAGTTGGAGTAAGTCAAAAGGACACAGCTGTAGCAGAAGCAAGTACAGACCCTAGAGAGAAGAGAGGCAAATAAGGACTTTACCAACAAGTTCAGATTCTCTGTGGCATAACAAAGAGCTGGAATGGCTGCTCATTTAAGGAACAATCGATAATAAAAGAGAAAACAGAAAGCCATCGGGGTCTGCAAATCACCCTCAATGAGCCAGTTATGAACTGGCTAGAGTCTTGCCCACCATTTAAGGGGCTGGCACAGTCTTTGCACAGCACTCCCCCAAATCTGTGGTGCCGTTTTGAAAGGCAAACACACTCCTATAAACAGTTTCTGAAAGACAGAGCATCATCAAGCCCTTTATAAAACCAGAGACCAGTGCAGCAGCCTAGGCCTGGGCTCAGCTTTCTTGCCCACCTCAAAACAAAAAGAAAGAGGCCAGAAAGAACAATGACTGGAAACCAGAAAAGGTTGCCATCGATGAAAGAGGTAATCTAGATCAAATTCTAAAGGAAATAAGGGAAGGGATTAAAAAAGATTCACACAATGAGTGACGGAAGAGAGGTAACAATCCACCAGCTACATCTATTTACACACTGTATCAGGAGCTCCGGAGGACCACCTCTATCAGACCATTTCAAACAGATCAGAGGAAGTTTTTAAGTAATATCAACTTACCTCCGAAACTTGCTGCCAGAGTACTGCACTGGCAGGAGTCAGAGGCAACTTTGACACTCAGGCAGACAGCCCAAACATCTACAGGTACCCAAAAAAACCCTGTGAAGATTTAAATGTGTCACAGGGCAGAGAACAAAACCGAGTAACATGTAACAAAACAACCCCTCCATGTATCCCATTAGTGGCCTACACAGACCCTCTGAAATCCCTCCTGAATGCACTCCAACCAAGACAGAAGACAACTAACTCTCCAGCATTTTCACTCCTTTTGTTACACACAGCAGGGCCCCAGAAGTCAGAAATGTTTCCAGGAAAGCGTTTCAAAGCAAAGACGTTGTCTGTGAGGATACCAGAAAACCTTATTGCGCTTCCCAGGCACTAGAATGGATGCCTGGCCATCAACGACGTGAGGTCTCCCTCTCCCACCTGTTGCTCCCCTTCCTCCTCAGCTTCTTGCAAGTGCTGCACTGCACGCAGAAAGCTGGGAAACGAGGCAGCCACAGCAAGCTCAGGCACTTTCGGATCGCACAGGGATGCCCCTTGTATCCGGGCCAGCCAAAGATGCACGGTGCAGGGGAGCACCCAGGTACCATGTGCTCCACAAACTTGCCGAGGCAGGCGGCCCGCTGCAAACTCCTCCGCGCACCAACACCACAGCGAGCCTGGCAAGACCCGACGGCCAGCAATGCCCAGAGGTGGCAGAGGCCCAGCC